CCTTTCTTGGCTGCTGCAAGGTGCACGGCGGGGTCTAGGCGCGGTATCTGCATGCAAGCGTCGTTGAACCGCTTGATGTAGCCCCGGATGGACTCTCCCTCTCTTTGCACTATGCTGAGGAGACTCTCTTTAATTCGCGGACACCGCTTGCTGGTGACGAAGTGGGACGTGAAAGCCTGCGCGAACTGCGCCCAACTTCTTATCGACCCAGGTGCCAAGTTCCGGTACCATGTACGGGCTGCTCCTCTAAAAGTGGTGGAGAAGGCCACGCACATGCACGACTCGCTGGATCTTGCCAGGTGCATCTATGATTGGAAGGCATCTACGTGATCATTTGGGTCGAACGACCCGTCGTACTTATCAAGAGGAGGGAGCTTGAAATCTTTAGGCATTGGGGTTGTCAGTAGCTCGGGAGATAGGGGGGATTGAACTGAAAGGATGGGGGCCTTGACTTCACCCGAGCTTACTTCTTCTTTGCCTCCGAGCTCGGACAGGTCGTGGATGGCAGACCGGCGAGCTCGGCGGCATCGTCTCTGCTTCTTGACGGGCTCGACATTCGTGCTGCACACTTCTGTACTGTCAGGAATGGTGTGTGCAGGAAGCAACTCAGGCCGCTGGTGATGGCTACGGACAGAGGGCTCCTGCTTGGATCCTGTGGCCAGGATTTCGAATCGGTTCTCTATGAACGGGGTATCGGGCTTGGAGGGCTGAGCCGATGTCGGCCTGGCGAGCTGGGTCCTTCCGACCTAACCTCCCGTGGCGAGGCCGGAGTGGCCGGGTGCCGAGGAGCGAGTTGTGATTGCTGAAGCTGAGGTTGCGGCAGCTGGGGAAATTGATACTGATACTGGTACTGAGAGACCTGGTGCAGCACGTGTTGTTGATAGATCTGAAACTACTGAAACTGTTGCATTTGAGCCCGCATGCACTACACCAAATCTTCCAGCTGGCTCGGGCTGGCCGCCGGGGGCACAACCGAGGGTTCAGTGAAGGTTGTTCCAACTGTGGTAGGGAGTGGAGCAATGACGGGTGCCCCTACAAGAGGCACGTTCAAACTAGGGATCCCGTCCGCTAAGAGGGGGGCGGTGAACTGTCTGATACAGACAGTAGGGAGTTGGGGCTGTTTCGTGGAGTTATTCATTTCTGTGCTTCGTTCGATGTTGCTAGAGGAAGCCATGAGCGTTGAGTTTTTGGAGAGTAAAAAGATGTGAAAGTTTAGAGAAAGGCTTTTCGAAGCGTTTCCCACAGATGGCGCCAAATGATGTAGCGTGGTTCATTCGCGAGGATGAACCTGAGATGAGGAAGATGAAGAATCCCCGGGGAGTTTACCCGGTGGGGATACTCCGATGCTTAAGTTAGTATTATGTAGGAAAAGCAAGAAGGAGACGAAGGCTAAGAGTGCAGATAGCGCGTTCTCACTATACTCAAAAGGTTAGAGGTTTCAAGAGAAAACCATTTCTCCTCTGCCCTGAGGGCTTTTATAGGAACATTTATGTCAGGTCGGGCATAACCACCACTGGGCTCCTGCCACCGTCGTTACCTTCCAGGGCTACGCAGGTGGCCATCGTGCCGTACGTCTCACCCGGGTGAATGACACGTCTCCAGAGTGACAGGCACACCCTTGCCTGCTGTGAGACGTGGACGCAGACTGCCGAAAGGACTGGGACTGCGCCATTAGTAAGGGATATGGCGCAGTCTGACCGATACGGTCTGTCAGTCGGAAGCTTCCTGGGGAGTGCTCGTGCGGTTCATTCGCGAGCTATTCTATAGCAAACTTGGAACGCTCCAGGGTTACCCTTAGTAGAATTGGCCCTGGGGGTGGTTTGTCTGCTTGGGAGCTCGGACGAGCTAATGACTTTAGCTCGCGAGCTAAAATTGCCTCAGAGTATCTCTTCAATGGTAGCTCGGGGAGCCCGGGGTTCGCGTCACGGCGAATCCCTTTCGCGAGCTACAATGTAGCGAGATGCTTTGTAGGCCTATCACTTGGTCGTACTAGGCTACAACGTTGAGCTGTTGCTCGTGCTGAGTCAGTGTCCATGTGTCACCTAGGTTGGGTCAAATTGTCCTCCATTAGTATCGACAATGGTGATGTTAAAAAACTTAATGATTTCTACGATAAAAGGGTGGAGCGGGAAGCGCAGCCCGGCTACGAGATGCTCCTCGAAAACCGTGACCTCATGATGATCGTGATCCCAAGGATACTGGCCCAGGGGAATACTGAAGACAAGGTCATCGAAAGCCGGTAGCGAGCTATTAAAGAAAGAAGTCTATCTGAAGTTATCGTGGAAGGACCGAAGTTGTTTGGGTCCTGACCTTGGTAAGAGGTAGAGACCCCCTCCCTAGAGGTTTGTCGCTCCTCCTGAGGTTCGAGCTCCTCGAACTGAGCTAGCACCTCTTCGAGTAAGGACACTCCCTCTGAAAGGTTTACAGAAGAACTTTCTGACGAGGAGCTGGCCTCACCCGCGGGTGCTGAGGTCTGTACCTTGGCACCCATGGACTCGCTAGACCCATTAAGGAGCCCATATAAATTAGGGCTAGACATGTTGAGAAAAGAAAAAAGGACAACCAAGCAAGGGAAGACAGACTCACCGAAGAAGGCGGGACAACCTCGGATACAAAGGAAGAAGGCACCGAGTTGAAAGACTTGAATGCGATCTCAAAGGGTTCAATCACGCAGTTTATGGCAAGAAAAATGGGTCATTCGGCCCCTATTTATAAGCCATTACATTCAACGATCAACGGTTGTGATTTGCACAATCTGACGGCTCCGATGAAAATTGGTTACACGCTACCCGAGGATGAAATTGGTTGAGTGTGTTTCTTGACGTCCGCAGAGTTTATAAACAGCGTGACATCTGCGCGTAGCCGATACGTGATCTGGAACATTTCCTAGTCGAGCCAAGTGGTCTTGTAGAACCAACCGAAGAACCGCCCTACGTACCATCTAGTCATCGTGCCAAATCCACCTGGGCTTGTTGTGAACTCCCCGCACCGGGTCAAGACCCCTGGCACGGGGAGTGGGGGGCAATTGATGAAGGGTGATTTGGCCCGACCTAGTAAGGAAGGGACACGTGGATGCGACCTGCCAACAGGATGACAACTCAGTGAGGAGAGCCTCGTTAGTAGATCGGGAGATCGGAACCAAAAGCCACTTCGTCGCCCATGTACCGAGGTGACACGTGTTCGATTCTAGATGCTTCCCAATGGACTCCGAACCCCCCGGGATCACGCCACGAAACCGAAGGCCTTATCCTCATCCTGCCCAGATCAGAAGGTAGTGATACACTTCATTGACTAGTACGTTACCTCTCTTCCGGGGCGGACGGATCCTAACCACACGGGCCGAGGATCCTGGAGTCGTTTCGTGAGTCCCATGACGACTCAGCTATATAAGGACTTCAAACCCCAAGGTCAAGGTATGCGCGATTATTTGATCACTAGTACACTTATCATTCAACTTTCAGCTTGTAATACTAACTTACGCATCGAAGCAACCTCGTCGGGTTAGCCACCTCGGGTTCTTTGAGTTTCATTGTTTTGCAGACCGAACCAGCTCGCCATGCAGCCAAGTTCCAGATCATCCTCCAGCTAGGAGCATCCAGATTGTGCTCCATCACTAATCAATGAGTTTGTGCTAGTTCACTCTTGATTGGTTATGTAGCAGAATAGATCTGCAAAGTGACTATGAGTTCAGATCTGCTAACCACTGGCGACTTTCATTTAGTTGCACATTAGAAATATATCTTGTATTTTATATAGTACATGATACCATTGCGTTGTGATCAGTAGATTCACGCCAATAATAAATTCATAAGCCTCACCATAAAGATGCAAACCCCGTGTATTTAAATACGGGCATATAACCTTATCATTAGTTTCACAGCCCGCAACGAGTTCAAATCAACCCCCACAAGATTGCCCCTCACAACGTTCCACAGTATATTCTCACCATGTATTGAGAACATCTCCTAATGATGACATCATCATTTCTGAGATTATCATTGGGAAATGTTCCCAATACACGGCGGGGAACATCGCCCGCAACTCACGACAAATCAAATTTTGTTTCCGTTTCCTTGTCAAATTGTTTACCACTTTTGAGTGTTGCACAAACGAGGGTTAAAGTTCGAGTGAAAATGTGACTTTCAAATTTAAAAGGATGAGTCCACTTAGCAAATATTCTGACAACTGTCAAAATATTTATAAAAGGTGGATTTCATCTCAACGAAATGTAATTCACAGTCTATTATAGTCGTACATTGGGAATATTTCGTTATTTTGTAGGGCTATTCATAAGAAGGCCCAATCCGATCAAACCGACCAACCCGGACCGACCCAACCTGAGCTGGCCGGGTTTTTATCAATACGGGTCGGTTTTGGGTTGTGCAAATTTCTAAACCGATGATTCGGGTCGGTTTCTGTTTTCACACAAGAAAACAGAAACCGACCCGAACTGAACCGACTTAGTTTCTAGTTCAAACATGAAGTTCCAAAGTCCATTAGGCCACTTAGTTTTTGAATGGTTGCAAGAAACTTTGGATTAGTGAATAGTGATTAATGAACAACTTTTGTGATTAACTTTTCATTTAAATTTTATCATAGAAGATAGTTGAAATGATGTTCAATTTATGACTGTTTTTAAAATTATCAAGATTTTATCACAGGGATGAACTTAGAACCGAAACCGACCCGACCCGACTCAAACCGACCAGGTCGGTTTTGCTTAACACTGGATCGATTTTGGTTTCTATGTCAGGTAACCCGACTAGATCGGGTCGGTTGGAAAAACCACAGTAAACCGACCCAACCCGACCCGTGAACAGCCCTATATTTTGTATGTTTTATGTTGAGGAGATATTCCCCAGTCACGGCTGCAGGGGACTGTGAGAAAGTGAGGATGGTCTTCTGATGACCAAGTCCGACAGCACCTTCATGAGAACATAATAAATATTCTGGCCATTGCCAAAAGTTGCTTTTTAAGTGATGGTCTGTGTACAAAAAAAAGGGGACATCACCATCACCATGTTTCTTTTCCTAAAGATGTCCATTACATTACGGTTGAAAGGTTGCACCAGTTTTTCTCCTAAACCAGAATTTCGCAACTTCTTTCCGCAGGCCGCATTATGGGATTTCCATTTCCTTCTCCCGCCATCTTTTCCATTGCAATTCTTTTCTTCGTTATCTCCTCCTACTCTTCTCTTGCCTCCTCGGTGACCAAGAAACATTTCATGTACAAAGGATCTTCTCTGTTAGTTGAAGATTACCTTTCGGACCTACTCACCTCCCCCGACGAAACCTTTACCTGTGGATTTTACAGATTTGGAACAAACAACCGTTTTAGTTTCTCAATCTGGTTCACCAACTCTGAAGAAGGGAGTAGTCAAGGGACCGTGGTGTGGACGGCCAACCGACAGCATCCAGTGAACGGCCGAGGCTCCAGAGTTTCGCTGCAACGAGATGGCACCATGGTCCTTACCGACGTCGATGGCTCAATTGTCTGGTTCATCAACACCAACACCACCGGCACCGGTGTGGACAAAGCCGAACTCTTGAACACGGGGAACCTCGTTTTGAAGGATCCATTTGGTAAAATCCTTTGGCAAAGCTTTGACTCTCCTACTGATACTCTTCTTCCTTCACAACCCCTCACCAGACACACCAAACTGGTCTCTGCAATGGCCATTGGAACTCATGCTTCGGGTTATTTCACTTTCAACTTCGACAGCGACAGTGTGTTGAGGTTAATGTATGATGGGCCTGAGGTTTCTAGCTTGTATTGGCCTGACCCTGATTTCACCATATTTGAGAATGGCAGAACAAATTACAACAGCAGCAGGATTGCGCTACTTGACGACATGGGTGCTTTTCTATCAAGCGACAGAACCAACTTTTTTGCCTCTGATTTGGGTTCTGGGATTAAAAGGCGATTAACGTTGGATTATGATGGTAATCTTAGACTCTATAGCTTGGATGAATCAACCAAGTCATGGACGGTTACATGGGAAGCTCTGCCACGACCGTGCGATATCCATGGGCTGTGTGGTAGGAACGGTGTTTGTACTTACACACCAAAACCAAAGTGTTCATGCCCACCAGGTTATGAGATAGTTGACCCGTCTGATTGGAGCAAAGGTTGCAGGCCCAAATTTAACTGGACATGCGACCAAACCCAGCAATACACATTCGTGGAGGTTCCACATACAGACTTCTGGGGATATGATCTTGATTATAGACCGTCGTCGTCGCTAGAACACTGCATGAAGCTCTGCTTGGAGAACTGCTCCTGTGAGGTTTTTGTTTATAGGTTAATGAAAGGAACGCAAAACTGTTATATGAAATTTGCGCTTTTTAATGGGCGTAGTGCTTCAGATTTTCCAGGCAGTGCATATTTGAAACTGCCGAGAAGTTTGAATCTAACATCAGCAAAGACAGCTGCTTCCACTACTCTCGTAACATCTGATTATACTTGTAGACCTGAAGAGGTTGATCCAGTTGAGGTGGGTTCCTCCCAGACGTACAATGCAAACAACAGAAGGACAAGATGGGTTTATCTCTACATGTTTGTTTTTGCAATTGGTATCATTGAAATTCTATTCCTTGCATCGGGTTGGTGGTGCCTTTATAGAAGAGGAGATGGGGTGTCAAAGTCGACGGCGAACGGATACCATACATTATCCAGTGAGTTTAGGATGTTTACTTATTCTGAGCTGAAGAAGGCAACCGGAATGTTTAAGGAAGAGTTGGGGAGAGGTGGCTCCGGGGCTGTTTACAAGGGAGTTTTGCAAGATGATAGAGTGGTGGCGGTAAAGAAACTAGGAGACGTGCTTCAAGGAGAAGAAGAGTTACGGGCTGAAGTGATTACATTTGGGAGAGTCAACCACATGAACCTAGTGAAAATGTGGGGGTTCTGTTCAGAAGGAACCCACAGGCTATTGGTGTATGAGTACATTGAGAATGGGTCACTGAACAACTACCTCTTTTCTAATGCCAGCAATAATAGCAACAACGGAGCTATTTTACTGAATTGGAGGGAGAGGTTTAGAATTGCTTTAGGGACTGCCAAGGGTTTAGCTTACCTACACCATGAGTGTCTGGAGTGGGTTATCCACTGTGATGTGAAGCCTGAAAATATACTCCTCGATGGCAATTTTGAACCTAAAATAGCCGACTTTGGACTGGCAAAGTTGTCTAAAAGGGGTGGATCTGGTTGCCAGTTCACTAGAATCCGAGGAACAAAGGGGTACATGGCTCCAGAATGGTTTCTAAACCTTCCCATCACTGCAAAAGTTGATGTTTATAGTTATGGAGTTGTAATTCTAGAAATTGTAAAGGGCAGTCGACTTTCGGACTGGGTGGTTGTCGATGGAGAGGAGGAGGCTGAGCTCATAAGATTTCTTTGGGTGGCGAGGAAGAAGATTGCTGAATGCAAAGATGACTCATGGGTTGAAGATATGGTGGATCCGGCATTGAAAGGGCAGTTCAACCAGCAACAAGCAGCAATAATGATTGAAATAGGAATCTCTTGCGTGGAGGAGGATAGAAGCAGAAGGCCAACCATGGATGCAGTGGTGCAAACTCTATTAGACTGTGAAGACGATCCTAAACTAGTGCTTTAAACATTCTGTAAATCTTTCTGTGCATGGAAATATTCTGTATGCATCTATCATGTATGCCTTGTATACTTTGCTTGATAAAACTCTAGCTGCAACTCTATCTGAACAAACAATTTCTTAAAATTTCATTCCTACTCTGGGCGGGAATTCTTGTCCAGAATTTTACTCAGTTTAGAAAAAGACTTCATAGCAGTGACCCAGGTAGGAAAAGGAAGGGAAAGGTAGGGAAACCTTTACAAACCTTGTATAGGTTTCCCCACCTTTTCCTTCAAACCAAACAAGCCATAAAATTTGTATATACTTATAGTTTTTCCCATATAACATAATAGAAAATTTAATTTTCTTTCCTTTTTAGTAATCGAGCTTCAATTCAAGCAACAATGATTAACCTTAAGTGCTTTCTTACAAAATTGAACTGACAAAGATAACAAAACTTATCCCTTTTTATATAGCTTATGTATTATGTATACATAAATCAATGGCTTAACATGCATGTGAACCAACCGATGGTAGCTTATTTAAGAGGCTCTCTGTTTAGTTGTAGTGGAGACCTAGGATTAAATCCCACTGCCACTAAGGTTGAGGGATTAAGGGTTTGAAAGATAGGCTACCCCCAGCTGCTTGTGTAGTCCTATAAAGCAATTACAAAATTGAATTGACAATGATAACCAAAGGTTTACATTAAGGTTGTTTTTGGTTTGAAGAAAAAAGTAGAGAAAGGAAGGGAAAGATAGGGAAACCTTTACAAATCTTGTATAGGTTTCCCTACCTTTTCTTTCAAACCAAACATAGCCTAAGTGCTTTCTTACTACATTTTATTGTTGACCTAGAACTATCCATGAACAGATCTACATTAAAAAAGAGAGAAAAACCTGATAATCCATGGAAAAGAGCAATGATTTCTTTATACTTGAAGAAAATTGCTTCACACCATGTACTGGTGGACAAATTTGCATTTTGACATCAGTTTGCCCTTTTACCTAACTCAACCAATCAATGGGGGGAGATGTTATACAAACATTGACAAATAAGGTGAGAGAGAGAGCTCTTTGTGAGAGGACTCCTCACCTCCCTTCTTTCCTCTTTCTCTTATATATTTAGATATAAATAGGTATGACTGACAGATATTACAAATTTGCATTTTGACATCAGTTTGCCCTTTTACCTAACTCAACCAATCAATGGGGGGAGATGTTATACAAACATTGACAAATAAGGTGAGAGAGAGAGCTCTTGGTGAGAGGACTCCTCACCTCCCTTCTTTCCTCTTTCTATTATATATTTAGATATAGATAGGTATGATTGACAGATATTACCAAAATATAAGATCCATATATGGAATAGTAGGACTTCCTGGGTGGAACCAAGGTTCAAAATATCGATACGCCCGATACGCCGGTTTAGGGCTCCTCAACCCCCTGAACCGGTCAGACCCCCGATACACCCACTATAGGGGCGTATCAATGGGGTCTTGGAACGATACGTACCGGTCGATACAAGCCAATACGTGTCAATACTTTGAACCTTGGGTGGAAGCTTAAGGTGGGGTCTACATAAGAGTTGGGGTCTATCCATAGGACTCACTGGCTCACCTTTTAATTTCATTTTTCAAGTGAAATAAAAAGTGAGAAAAAATTAAAGCATTATCTTATTAACCAAAATTTATTGTGTGTGAGGCTTTTATAAAGGTAAAATGAGGTTTTACTTCAAAACAAATGTATCGTTGGGCAATGCTAAGAAATGCTATAAGAATAAAAAAGACAAATATTAGTAATATATATAATGAACAATACACAAATAGTTGATGGGTTTTTATTTTTTATAATTTATAAATATATTTGAACTAATCTAGAAGTAGAAGCAGCTCTCTCTTTCTTATTTGAAATGACTTATAATTTTGTTTCATGTTTGTTACTTAGTTTAGGTAAGGATTTAAGGACGCTATAGTTTTGTCATTCGTTCCATGCTTTAGGTTCAGTTTGATAGGAATGCAAATATAAATATGTAGAGTGCAAATATACATTTATATTTGTACTTTTCTCAAACCTGGAAAGAGTACAAATAGAAGTATATATGTAGAGAGCAAAACTTTATATTTTGCATTATTCTGTATGTGTTTACATTGTACATATTTGTATTTATACTCTTTCCAAACTGAGCCTTAGGCTGTGTTTGGTTGGAGTGTAATTTTATTTGCACAAATACAAATGCATGGGAGTGCAAATAAAAAGAACACAAATTTTGGTTTAATTTTGGTTTGGGTTTTACTTTATTCTGCTTTAAGTTTTATTTTACTTCATTTGTACTGCAATCAAATAAAATACGGTAAGTTTTGAAATTAAAAATAAATCATAATTTTCATCAATATCATTTGCACTACCATGATTTTGCATTATTGCAAATAAATTCGCATTGTAACCAAATACGGCTAGGAATATGATGCCCTACCACTGAACGAGTCACAATTTGGACTCTGCTTGATTAAGTTTTTAATTTTTGAGTTTTGAGATGTAAAAAACAAATTAAACTAAAAAAAAAAAATGTTTCAAGCATTTCATAAGATTTGCTTTTAAAATCATAACAATCTAAAACCGGAATGGAAGCTGTCAACTGACTGGTTGGTAACGCCTCCCGCTAGTTGTAGCAGAGAATTGGGATTAAATGCTGCCTACACCAGGGTTTCAAGGATGAACTACTCTTGTAGTGTAGCCCAAAGAAACAAAAAATATAAATAAATAAAATTGAATCTAAAACCAAAATACTTCTTAACTCCAAAATACAAATCTTAAAATTGGGACATTCACAAATCTTGAAGTTTATTCAAAGGCAACCTTAATTATTGGTTATATGCCAAAAATCTACACATAGTTAAATAGCGCAGAGTGCTTCATGGCAACTTGGGGCATCACCTTCTACTCGCTTTCGAGTGTGTAGACAAGTTCAGACTCCCAAAAAAGGTTTGGAGACCTTCAGGGATCAAGGGATGGCAATTTCCTTGTCTTTTCTAGGTACCCCACCTCTGATCAAATCGGAGATGGAGATTTCTTTAGGGCACCAAAACAGGGGCGTGAAGTTCCTGCCCTACTTGTCTGCGACTGTAATATATTAAATATTTTTAAAATATTATTTATATTTTGAATTTTGAAAATTTATATACATATATTAAATATGTTAAGATGGTTTTGTATATATATTTTTAAATAGATTTATATATTTTTTTCAACTGAAATAAATGTTAGTCAATTATTAAACCAACTTGGATTAATGAATTTTTTTCTTATTGGAAATCTATGCCATCACGAATCCAGATCTGCTTCCATTGGGGCAAATGGGTGCCCACACGGCTCTAACAGTCTTTCCATACCTTGCATTGGAAATATCTCCCATGAAATAAAATATACGAGTACGGAGATATTCTTAATACAAGGCGTAAAAACTGCTCAAATGGGCTTTGCCCTGACTGAAGCCCATTCCTCACGAATCATGGATGAGATTCTTTTATTAGCTGTAATGTCATATGGGTTGGTGTGGATAAAATTATTATAGGTAAAGATCTGAATTGCATCGGTCAGGCCAGGATTCGTGTGACCAGTATTTCCAGTCATTGACCTAATAAAATAATCGAAGAGAACCTTTTCTCTGTTGCTTGTTGAATTTTCTATCACATATGGGCTTTTTTTTTGTTTTAATGTGTACCAATTTTAGACCCGATTAGTAGTGGATTAATTGTTTTTAAAATTTTATAGATTTCGTACAATGTCTATGCTTGCCCATCCTCATACCCACAGACCATTCAACCCAAGTCAAAAATCGGTTCCCAATTCTCCTACTCAACCAGTGGGCCTTTTATAAGTCTGAGATTCTTAAAATTTTATAGATTCCTTACAATCTCGGAGGCTGTTGAGCCATTAAACCAGCCGGACAACAAGAACAAGAGGCCCAACGAGAGATTAACCCGAATTCAATTCGAGACTAATCTCAACTCCACCCGAAGTTTTATTAGCCTTTACATTTGCGGTTCAACAACTTTGCACCCCCTAGCCACATTATTATTGGTCCTATATTGGGCAATATAGCTACAAATTATGTTTAGAGATGTAAACGATCAGGATTTGAATTAGGATATATTTGAATTCAATTTAATAAATTCAAATCTTAGATATGTTTTGAATCAAAGATTTGATTGAATTTTATAAATGTTGATTTAAATTTGAATCCATTAAAGATGTTGGATATCTAAATTTGACCTGATCTGATTTAATTTAAAAAATAAAATAAAAAAATTATTAAAATGAAAAATATAACCATTTATATAAAAAAAAATACAAATAATTTATTTAACTATTTTCATCATATATATATATGCATTTTTATAAAAAAATATAAAATACAATTTAAAGATATTTATAAATAAATAAATAACATATGATCAGTTGATAGGCTGTGGAGTTGGGACCATCTAACGAGCAGCATGGCACTTGACCACTCTCAGAACTAACTCAGCTGCTCCTAGAATGTGGACACTATTGTATACATTGGATTCGAATCAAACAAAAACCAGCCTACAGCTAACTCCATATACTATACGACGTTGTTTGGGGCACAACTTAGACGGCCCAACCTGAGCTTAGACTGATCCAACCTATATTTCTTTTGTATTCTGGGCTTGGATTTTTGGTACTTAGGATGGGCCTGGCCCAAAACCGTGGGTTTTTCTATTTTTCCGGCTGGACTTAGGCCTAACCCTAAGTAGTCGAAGCCTGGCTTAAACCCAGCCCAACTATAGTCCAATTCAAACCCGGTATGCATGCATACACACATATAAACGCCCAAACCCAGCATAATTTCTTATATTGGCAGCAACAAAAGCAGAAATCCAATGATTGATAGTAAGAATTAAGAAATTGCCAAATTAAACTAATTGGTGAGCCTTATTGAGTTAAATCTAAATTTTTATTGTCTCAGGAACAATCTAAACACTTGAGTCACAGACTCAAAGCACTCATAATGGGCTTCCTATCAATCCTTCGCACCTCTGATATGAATTCTAGATAACCACAATGTGCCAACTTCTTAATATGAGAAGTATGGGAGACCTTTTGACCACAGGACTGAGTCTTT